TTAGATGTAAGTGAGGCTCTCTTCCTAATCCATAAGTCCCAGTGACTGCTGTGACACACTGATGTGTAACATGAAGAATTGTGTCACAAAGTTCTGGATTTAGAACTTCCTCTAAATAAGCTCTCTCAACCAGAACAATACCATCTACTTCTACAGGTATTTGAAAATGTGCAGAGGGGCATTTTGAAATTGCCACAATGACCTGTAAGAGAGAACAGAGGGGAAGGATGCTAATGGCAATTAGTAGTTTGGCCCCAAATGCTAAATGAATGACAGTCACACTACACACATGATGGCATTTCATTTACTCCCCTCTTCCACCCCGACCAAAAAAAATTGTATAAATGTTCCCTATTCCCCTCTCTCAGATGGTCAAGCCACGCCATTCCCTTTAAACTTAAAAGTCCGGGGCTCAAAACAGAGACTAGATTTACAAACTGCAGTCTACTGGCAGGCAGCTTAATTACTACCACTGTTTTCAGAAGCTCTTGTCTTGTCTTTTTTTCATTATCATAATCAAGTACAGTCCTCTTTCAAAGGTCTGTGTTCAGTTTTCTCCACGGGCATAGTATTTTGCCCCTGCTCCAACACCAGACTTTTAGCTAGCAGATATGAGAAAAGACCTCCACTCTAGTACACTATGCCAGAACAAAAACTCGCCAAGTATCCTTGGAACCTCGTATCTATAGATGAAGGAAGAGAAATTCCATAACCTCCTGAGAGCATATCAAATTTTTGTGTCTAGCAGTACATGTGCCTCTTAATGGGAACGAGGTCCATAGTGCTCATAAGACTCTCAAGAGACTATGACTTTAAAATATTAAAAACAATTGCTCATTGAAAATGATCCCCCAAATCTTTTACAATTCCTGTGCTTTAAAATCTCTGAAGGTTTCCCAGTATCTGTAATATAAACTCTCTCAACATATTAGCTAAAGCACTCCACAGTGAAGCCATCACTCAAAATACTAGAATTCAAAACCTATCCTGGCAATTTTTAATGTACTTTACAATTCTAAGAAATCAAACTACTTCCTTCAAACATATGCTTTCCTTCCTCAAGGTTCTGCTCACAATTTCCCTCTTCTGAAACATTTTCCTGTATCCTCAATGAACAAAATCCTAATCATTCTTCATGTTCTAGTTCACAGGTCACACCTATAAACATTTACCTACCTACTCGGCTGAAATTAACCTTACTCATCTGTGCTTTCATAGTATCTTGTATTTCCACTCTAGCACTTGTCACATTCTCCTTGGTTTATGGTTACAGTGAGGTGCCCAATCTCTGGGCTGAGCATAAGTACCAGTCTGTGGCCTGTTAGGAACCAGGCTGCACAGCAGGAGGTGAGCGACAGGCGGGCGAGCAAGCATATCCACCTCCTGTCAGAATAGCAGCAGCATTAGATTCTCATAGGAGTGCGAACTCTAATGTCAACTGTGCACACAAGGGATCTAGGTTGCATGCGCCTTATAAGAATTTAATGCCTGATAATCTGAGGTGGAACAGTTTCATTCTGAAGCCATCCCTCCCTTCGCCCCCGCCCCATCCGTGGAAAAACTGTCTTCCACGAAACTGGTCCCTGGTGCCAAAAACGTTGGCTGGGTTATAGTATTGTAATGTTTTCCCTGACCTGGTAGAATATAACTAAAGGACAAAAGCTGCATCTTATGCCTCCCTGTGATCACCAGTAAGTGATACTGTGCCTTAAATAATATAGGTTTCTAATATAAATATCTACAAAATTAAATTAAAATTAATACTGGGTACAGTGGCATATGCCTGCAATTGCAACACTTTGGGAGGCCAAGGTTGGAGGATCACTTGAGCCCAGGAGTTTGAGACCAGTCTGGGCAACATAGTGAGACCCTGTCTCTGAAAAAAAAAAAAAAAAATTAGCCAGGTGTGGTGGAATGTGCCTGTGGTCCCAATTACTTGGGAGACTGAAGTGGGAGGATTACTTGAGCCCAGGAGATTAGGCTGCAGTGAGCCATGATTGTGCCACTGCTCTCCAGTCTGGGTAACAGAGCCAGAGCCTGTCTCAAAAAAAAAAAAAAAAAAAAAAACCCTTCGATTTGCAAGGAAATTTGGCTATTATTAAACAAAGATGAAAACTACATGGAAGAATGGATGTGAAAAGCATATGGCAATTTCATCCCTTGAAACTTACAAAATGGCCAGTCTAGGCCAGTTAAATCCAAGTTCATATACCCACAAATTCTTTCACCCAAAAGGAAAGCCAATTCAGTTATAGAAAGCCTATATGAATAGAAAATGAACGAATGTTAACAAAGTAGTCTGCAAACTATAAAGCATTACACAATATAGATAACTAATCATGACTGTTACAGTCTACTATCCTTTAACGTAGTGTATTTTTTAAACTACCAGACTATTTTTTAACAGACCAACATAGTTATAAAGAGTTTTATGGGTTAAAATTAATTAACTGAAACAATTCATGACTATCTTAAGATGATTTAAGAGATCATTAGATGCCCAGGTGAAATTATAAAAGTATGAAAAATATCAAAGGGAACTGATACTGAAGTTTTATATTTTAAGATTATGTTTATTATATAGAACATCAAGTATACTAAGCAATGAATAATTTCTAAAGACAGAGATTTTTTGTCTTCCTTTGTTTAAATTTCAAACTGTTTTATTCATAGCAAGTTTTTTATAAGAAAATTCAAGGAGTAATAAGACTTGGCCAGTTGAGGAAGAACACTTTGTATTTCACATGGTAAACCAGATCATGAGGGAAAAAAACCAACGATTTTCTAGGTCAAGAATGCTCACTTCAAGCATTCCTCAGTAGCTTCAAGGCTCTACAGTATATTATTCCAGGCAAATGGGCAAGGAATAATACATGAGTGAAAGAGAAACTTCAGGGACAAGTTTAAGTGCTGAATAATTCTCTTCTTTTGTATACCCTGTGACCTTCCTACAGGAAAGGTGTGCTAATAAAAACCATGCTTGGCTGGGCACAGTGGCTCACACCTGTAATCCCAGGACTTTGGAAGGCCGAGGCACGTAGATCACGAGGTCAGGAGATTGAGAACATCCTGGCTAACACAATGAAACCGTGTCTCTACTTAGAATACAAAAACTGAGCCACGCGTGGTGGCACATGCCTGTAGTCCCAACTACTCGGGAGGACGAGGCAGGAGAATCGCTTGAACCCAGGAAGCGGAGGCTGCAGTGAGCCAAGATCGCGCCACTGTACTCCAGCCTGGCGACAGAGCGAGACTCCATCTCAAAAAAAAACTTGCTCATGGGCTACTCAGTTTCTGTTCTTGTACCCAAAACCATATGATGTTAATTATTCAGGAGCATATATTAGAAATGCTTTGTGCTTACACATTTTTGTTATAAAAAGACTTTTTATGTTGCATCAACTTATGCAAAAACGTAAGAAAATTTTAGGTTTAAAAATATACAGCCACCTGTTAGCTGAGATACTTCAAAAAGCAATATCCAAAGAGGAGGAGGAGGAGTAGTCCAAAATGCACTTATAATGACAAAAAAGGTCTTACAACAAGCCATATTACAACATACATTTTAATAAAACACATTGAGTTGTACAAAGCCTATATTCTTTTCATATTCCTTTGTATATTTTATTTAATCTTTCTCTAAAAAGCTAATTAAATGGTGAGAAATAATCCAAAGAATTTCAGAATCAATGTATTTAACTGGGCATATTATGACACCTAAATGTATGGCAGAATTCAGTCTTGGTAGCAAATGCTATAATTTAAAAATAATGGTCCTCTATTTTATAAGGAATGTTGATTTATATAGAAAGTAACAATATAATAGGAATACAGGATTATAGATAGGTAATCAGAAAATTTGAAATTCTAGGTTCTAACTAAGCACTACTACTAAGGAACTGAGCCTAATATTTTCTTAACCTCTCTGGGTCTCAGACTATTAAAAAAATGGAAGTAGGAGGGTTGATTTTATATTCCATTCAAGAAATTATGATTCGGTTCACATAAGCAAAGGCTTTTACCCAATAATAAATATATAAAGTATCTACGTGTCAACATGTTAATGTCAGTTAAAAAAGAGCATTATAAACCATTAGGCATTGAAAATTCAAATTTAAAAATTTTAGTGCCTCATAAACAAATACTTTAAAAAAAAAATTTAAGGCCAGGCAAAAAATAATTACATGTGTTAATGAAAGCATAATCACAATAGGAAACCACACAGCTAATTAAGCCCCAGTTTTTGCCTCAAAAATGTTATAAATTAATGCTTCTTTATTTTAGAATGTTGATAACTAATACTCTGCCGAAACACTACAAACATGATACTACACAATTAACACAAAATTACTAACTGATTCTGAAATTAAGCACACTTCATTTAGAAAAGCAAAACCAAATTATTTTTACAAGGTGCAATTCTGCAACTTATGAAAATGCTGAAAGGCAGGATCCTAAACCGAAAGTGTAGGACTATAAAATGGGTAAAGAGTGCATGGGAGCAGTTACGACATTTCTACTTTTGTCCTTTATGAAATTCACTTGGCAATAAAGAAGGCATAAAACTGTTATGTAACTCTATCTTCAAATTTTTAAAGTCAAATATAAAAACGAAGAAGGGAGAGGAGGCCCTAGAGCTTAGAGCTGCCCAACAAACATACTTAGATAGTAGAATTCTGTATTCAGAGAGGGAAAACCTTATACTTAAACAACCTGTAAATAAGTAGGTCTTTGATCATGAACTTTTAAGTGACTCACGAAGAGAATCAAGCAATTTTAATAGGACTGTACTAAGGTTCTTTCTTAGAGAATATAAAACATGGGGTACCTATTCATTTGTCAAGACCACAATTTAATTTTTTCAATCCCCAAACTAATTGTTATAGATCAAACAGATTTGATTTAAGGTGAAACCTTACTCCTGAAAATTATGAAGCACAAAATATCAATTAAGATCTTCAAATAGGCCATCAAATTTGTTTTTTAAAAAAATTTCTTACTGTAATGAAGTCATTCCCTTTAACCATTCTTCCTTGGTAAAAAATCCCATGCTTTCAGCCTCCAATTTCCACGCTAAAACTAACATAATAATCTGGAAAGAACAGAACATAAAGGATAGGGGAAAAGTCAGCATAGAGATAATCATGTCTATATTCATCATGGAGAGCATTTTTACACAACTACTTCCATCCTTCAACTATTAAAGAGTATAACCTCTGGAATTATTAACTATATATAAAGAAATTGAGATGTGCCAATTTCTTAAAAGTAAAAAGTTCTAACAGTTTCTGAAGGTAGAATCTCTTATTCTATTACATGTAACATTTGTATCAAGAAAGAACACATTTGCCCAACTTAAACTGATTAAATGTGCCCTAAATGCAAATTTACAATATTAAACATGAAGAAATAAAATCTTCATACAAGATTAAAGTGTCTCAATTTTTATAAATTTATGAATATGCTATATCCCACTTATATTCCATTCTACTTAGAAATAAAACATACATTTTCAGGTTCAACACCAATGTCTTCACAAAATTTTTCCATTCCTTCTGGCCCTACAACTTCATCAGGACCTTCAAAAGCAAAAATAATTTACATTATTTTGTTATAATATCAACATAAAACATAAACCATCATGCTAAAAGTACCCATGAACACACAATATTTTGCAAATAATTAAATCTGAATTTTGGCATAGCTTTGATAAGTATAAATATTTGCTACAGGATTTAAAATTTAAAATTTGTAAAGTATTCTTTGAACACATTATAATATGAAATTAAGAAAATTTTTTTTTTTTTTTTTTGAGACGGAGTCTCGCTATGTCATGTCACCCCAGGCTGGAGTGCAGTGGCCGGATCTCAGTTCACTGCAAGCTCCGCCTCCGGGTTTACGCCATTCTCCTGCCTCAGCCTCCCCAGTAGCTGGGACTACAGGCGCCCGCCACCTCCGCCCGGCTAGTTTTTTAAAAAGCAGCAAAGAAATACTCACATTAGTATCAATCATAGTCAGTCACAAAAACTCACAAA